CGGCTCCATGAGCTTCACATCCTCCTGCTAAGGCTGAAAGGAACAAGAACAAGAGCTGCTGATGGTTGTAAGGCCTCGCTCGGCTCTCCCCACCCCCTCCGCCGGCACCATCCCCCACTGCAGCTCCCATGGACTCGTATCCCTCCCATTAACGCTGAAAGGGGAGGACAGGAGCCCTGATGGGTTTTTCTCAGGCTTTACTCTTGTTTTTTCCCCCCCCCACACCCACACACGCACAACCACACACCCTCTCTACCAACCGGCACCAGCTCCACAGCCCCTGCAGAAGTGCAGAGCTGGCTCTCGCCGGCACATCCATGGATGCCCCTTTCCCTCTGAGCACATCCATGAAATGTCCCTTCCCTCTGAGCTCCAAAGGGGAAAAAAAAAAACGAAAAAGAGAAAAAAAAACCCACCCTCGTTCTGCTTATTCATTATAAGCGCTTGGCAGTGTGCTGTTAAAAACGTGCGATCTCTTGTTTTTAGAAGCATCTGTGCTTTAAGAATAAGGTTTTGTCTCCTTGAATGTGGCTCTTCATAATAATCTCTTGAAGTGCTGCGTTTTTTGTCCTTAAAGTTCTATTTTATTACCTCTTCTGGATCGGTGAAGGTCGGTTTAACCCTTTAGAGATGAAAATCAGGAGCCACTTTAGGAAAATGTTGCTTTTTTTCTTTACTAATTCGTGGTTGCAATAATATTTTATTGAGGATTTTTCCCCCCCAGCCCAGTCCTGCATGCTGAAGGAAGTGTGTGCTTCAGCACTGATTAAAGTCATGTATGAGTTAATGAGAAGCTTGCAGAGTATGTGAAGCAAGAGAAAATCTTTAACCAGCTCTGCTGTTCCTTCTACATACCACAAACTTGCACGCTGTAACCAGAAGGTGGATTGAATATGTGTGAAATGCTGCAGTAGGAGACTCTTAAATCGCATCACAGGTGGATGCTCACTCAATTTATACATTATCCTTTCAAAATACCTTAAAGTTGGGTGGGTTTGGCGGGGTTTTTTTAAGCATTTTGAGACTTCGTATTTCCACGTCCATTGAAATCCTTGGATGAAAGGTGCTATAAGCTTAGGAAATATGATTTTCTGGATTGTTATTTTTTATTTTAAACAATGTTTTCCCCTCTGCTTCTCAGGTTAACAGATTGATAGCACAGAAGAGCCTCTGAGGTGCTGGAGGTACCAGCAGTGGTGTCAACATTCCAGTTGTGGGACTTCTAATTTGAGAAACATATTGTCATAAGGAATAAGATCGAGGCTGAATCCTGCTTGCATTTAGGTCCAAATGCAAAATATGCTTTGGAAGGAGTCCCCAGGGAACATTGAGAGTAATTAAGTAAAAATAAAACCTTTCACTTCAGCCCCCCCCCTTCTCCTTTTAACACAGACAAGTCAATGCAATGCTGTTTTCATTCCACCATTTTCATTATGTGTCCTGATATTTCTTAATTTTGTATTGCATCTGAAATCCTCGAGTGACTTATAATTTCTGTGATTTGGGGGTATTTCTAGACCATACTTTTAAAGAAGTCATCTCACTGTGTCCCAGAAGGAGCCATTGAACAGTCATTCTCATAAACAGCACTGAACTTCTTACAGCCTCGCTTTTCCAAACACCTTTTTTTTCCCCCCCTGTAATTTTAATCCTTAACTATTGAATTCCCTTTTCTTTACATTAAGTAAATATTTATTAATACCAGTTGAGGGGTTTTTTTTCATCTTTTTAAAAGAACAGAGCCTTGTCACTAAGATGATCCTTTCGTATTGAGGAGATGACATAAAAAAGGAGTGAGGGAGAGTTGTCTTGTGCTGGAAAATGCCATTTTTGGAAAACAATACTATAGGAAATGGAAATGAAAAATACATTTTATGCTGGTGGGAACTTGTAATGAGGCTAAGAGAGGATTTGATGTCCCAGAAAAGCAATGATTACAAGGGGAAAAGCGGGACTTTATCATCCATTTGTAAAAGTTCTCGGGCTGAATATCCTTTTGGGGAGCTGAAATTTGGCTCAAGTCTGCTTATGAACATCTGTTGAATGGAATTTTAAAAAGGCACAGATTATAATCTTAGTTTCTGTTGGCTGTTTAAGGTGATAAAATAAAGCAAAATAAATGGTTCTGCAAGTACATTTGGGGAGTTTTTTTGTTAATAATGAGGTGGGTGAATGTTCAGTTGTCTCCACTGCTGGTTACCTGGTTGTATATGTGTTTCCATACATTTTTCTTCATTGCATATAAAATATTCCCTCTACCCCTTTCTATAGCTGTTTAATTCCATTTGAACAACTCCTTGTAAGCTTTCAAGTTTTGGTTGGTTTGTTTTGGTTGGGGTTTTTTTTTTGTGACATTTTTTGCACCAAGAATACAGTGATCTATCTGAAGGGAAATTTTGAGAGCTCTTGGGTATTCCCAGAACTGCTTCGATTCACATCCTGCCCACCTGTCCCTCTGACAGGATTCTGTAAATTCAACCACTTTGTGTCCACTGGCTCTGGGTAGCACCACTTCAGCATCTATTTCTGCAGCGTTTGTGACCTCCAGTTATTCAGGGAGGTCTTCACTGTAATTTTCCCTCCTATTATTTTGCCTCTTTTCGCAGCCTGATGTTTTTTTTGCTCTTGTTTTCTCTTCCAAGCGAGGATGCTGTGAGTGCTTCAGCTCAAAATTTAGGTCATCTCCGATGGAAGAAGGGAGACCTAAAAAGTAAAAATAAGATTTCAATGTGCCTTTAAAAGTGACAACTCTTTGGGAGAAAAAAAAAAAAACCACTTATGAGCTCACCTGTATTTTGTGGCAGTAGGGAATGGAGGGAGCCTTTTCTGATTCCAGAAGGAAAGCTGAGTATCTCCTTGGGAGTGTGGTTTCTCTTCCATGTTTTCCTGATCTTTCATTTTCACACCTGATTTGAGCTTTAATCACTCAAATTATTCATAGGCTCGCCCTGGAAAAAGAAGAGAGTGACCTTTCCCCATCTGGAGTAGATGGATTTGCCATCAGCAATTGTAAATGGGTGACTTAATGACGGGGTCTACGCTTGGAATTTTGAATTCTGTGATTTCACCGCGTTTCTGGAGTTCTGCACGTGGTCTTTTCTGAACTGGTAAGTTGAAGTTATACCACAGGGATTTATTTTTTGCAGTTTCTCTCTTAGCACCGGGCTCCTGTCTACAAAGTGTTGATGATCCTCCCGAACTGCTGAGTCACCAAAGCACACGTGCCTTGCTCAGGACCAGGTCTGTAAGTTGCAGCTGTATTTTTTTTTTTTTGGTCTGTAATTATATCCAGTGTCTTCCATGACAAGGAACCTCAGGACAATTTATGAGCTCAACAAAAGTGCTGCCCGTTGGGGGTTATGTGATCACAGCTTTGCTGTCCCAGAGGGGCCAGAGAGCCCAAACTGCTCCTCAGTTCCTGTGGGTGGCTGGAATCAGCCACTGGAATTCCTAGATATCTGTTGCTCTTGCTTTTCTGTTACTTTAGTGGCTTAATTTAAATTACTAAGGAACTTGTGAGTCTGTTTTGTTTGCTTTCTGCTCTTCCCAGCAGCATTCTGCAGTTTTATATGTATTAAATGTGCTAAGCTTCATCTGGCCTAGATGTACAATAAATACCTTAGTCAATGCAGTTAAGTCCAGTTTCCTCTATTCACTCAGAAGAGATTTGTTTCTTATCTGAATTGTTCTTCCATTCAGAAGGAGAGAAGCCTTGCACAGCCAGAGCTCACCTCATAAATCACCCAGACAAATGGAACTTGGGGCAGGAGGAGATACAGAATGAGCACAGTTGTGATTTAGGCTCCATGAAGTTTGTGGAGCTGTGCCTCCCTTCACCCTTAAATATCCTCTGGTGTTTGGTGCCTTCCATTTGACAGAATAGGTCTAGTATTGATAACTTTTTTAATCAAAATACTAGAAAGACCTTCTTGGTCTTCATCCAGGCACTGCTCTGATATGCAGATACAACGTAATCTACTCACTAATTTACTTGGCTCTATCATGGAAGATGGGGCTACCAGCCAGCAATCTGTGCAGCCACAGCACCTCAGAGGACCTGGAGTGCAGCTTCTGGGCCAACAATGGTAACACACAGGCTGCATCTCCTCCTAACCCCAGAGTCACCCTCTGGCTGTTTCTGCTGGTTGGAACTCTTCTGATGACTTCCTGAGCTGCTCTTTGCTTGGTCTCCTGCCCAATTTCAACAATTCGTCTCATTTTTGTTCAATACAAGGTTATCTATAATTTCTTTTATAATGTCCTCATTACTTGCAGTTATGAAGTAGTGAAGGGGTTTCTTTTTGATTCTGAGACTGTTTGATGAATATATCTGTTGGCACCTGTCCTTGCTTCCCCCACTCCTTCCAAACTCACTTTAAGGATCCCCCACAACAATCTCGATGCCCTCAGTTACGAAGGGTCCTTCCCTCTACAAGATTAGAGCTTCCTGTTGGTGTTTTGTCCTTTCTGGGCAAGGAAAGGCTGATATCTCTGAGCTCAGTTGTTGCTTCGTCTCCTCAGCTCTCCCAGGGCGCTTTCAGTTCTGCCTTAACATCTTTGATTTGGTGAGGTTCCCTCCTATTTACATTTCTTCACATGTATCCTCTTCCCACCATCTGCTACCTTGTGTTTTCCTCCTCTCTGAGAGGTAGTGACCATATTTCATACAACGTCGTTCTACACGGTTTTCTTAACATTTAATTAAAAGGTTCTGAAAGAACAAAGCAAATTAGAATTCACCCATTCTGTGCAGGCACTTTAAGTGAGGAGGGAACAGCTCAAGAAAGAGCCTTCAAATGCCTTGAATGAATTTGCAACCAAAATTTTGTGCACTGTTTATCCAAAGGGTATAGTATCAAATTAATTAGGTGAGTTTTATAACTGACAGAAGTTCAGGTTGTTATTAGAGAATGCCATCTTCTCTAGGAACTCTTTTTCTTTGGAATTCAGCAGGTCTCCTGAGTAGTATTTACTTTGGAGTGAGTGTGTGGCTGTGCCTCGTTAGATAAAAGCTGCAGTACTAAAACTGTTTTACTGAACTTAGCTCCTGACCTGCCTTCTGAGGCCACAGCTACAAAGGGATGATACATCAATCTAGTTTGTTTGATCTAATTACAGCTGTTTAACCATCCTGAGCACAAGTGCACTCACCCTACTTTGTTATGCTGATTTCAGGTATTTTCACTGTTAATCGGGTGCACGGTGCTTGCTTCTTTCTTGTATTAATTTACCTCTCCAGATATTCTCAGCAGTTATCCCATGGAGTGGTGTTCTGCTGCTCAGCTGGATGTTACTTTTCACAACGTGTTGACAGGGAATTCTCAGGAATTTGAGGATTCTGTGGGTCAACCTGGCAAACGACTGTTCCTTTTCTCCTGGCATCCATTGGGTTTGTTGGGTTGTTTGCTTTTTTCTTTTTGCCTGTGCAACTTCTTTTTCAAAATGCTGCAGGAAGAAGAAACTTGGGAGATCCATCACAATGCATATTCCTGTGAGGTTGCACAGGTGGAAAGGTTTAGTTATGTGGCCTCACAGAGTTTTTGCTGCTTTGATAATGGAAGAAATGCAGAAAGAGAAACAGTGAGATGTCATCAACCTGCTCCTCCTGTAGGGGATTCATCAGGAGCAGTTTCCCCAGTGGTGTTCCTGGGTGTAGCCTGCCAGCAGGGCCTGATAGCACAGGGCACTGGTGCAGAACTGGGACGGCCAGGAGCGGCAGCCAAACATCAGGATGACAAAATTGCATTCCTAGAAACCCTTGTGAGCTCAGCTGCAGGGGCAGGACACAAAACAAAACTTCCCTTAACATGCAGGAGCCCGTTGCCACCTGTGGAAGAGCAGATTTCTGATTAATTCCAGCAGAAAACTACCAGTTTTGTCAGGGATATTGTCATGGGATCTCTTTTGATGTATATATCTGATCTTCTCTGCTTGGCATAAGAAATTACCTACATTTTTTCCCAAGCACAAGTCCAAGAACTGGAGCTCCATGGAGCTTCAAGGAATAAGCATGGCCTCTTGGGCCAGGAGAAAGGATTTATGAACGCAGAGAACAACTCCTCAGTGGTTGCACAGGGCCTTGCTCACCAGTGGAGGTGATTTACCATGGAATGGGTGCAGAATGGTATCACACAAACCTGTTAGAAATTTGAGCTTGCCCTGGTGTGTGCAAAGCTTTCCAGAGGCAGGGAAAGCTGTGGCAAGGTGTGTGGAAGCAAGGAATGGAAAGATGCTTTCAGTGTTACAGACATCCAGTGAAAAAGCCTCTGCAAAACAGCCTTTTTTTAAAGGAGAAACTGCATTAGGATTTTGCAAACATGAGGTAACATGGCAATTTAATAAAAGGAACAGCTTTTGACTTTATCCACAATCACTGTTAGGTGATGTCATGCTACTGTGGGCTGAGCTGGAGCTCGGTGGAGATCTGCAACAGAACTATCAAAGTAGTTTGGCTTGGCAAAATCAAACTAATAAAACAAGAAATATTTAATGTGAAATGGCTTGTAAACTCCAAACTCAGTGTGTCTGTCTATCAGCATAAGGGATGTGCTTAACACACTCCCTCAGCTCTCTGGAGCTGGCAGTTGGAAGGAGGTCCTCCAGGTAACTTCCTGAAGTGACAGCCTGTGACAGGGGCCCAAACCCGTGTGTTCTTCATCTCAGAGTCCACTTTTCTAATTGAGACATTCCTTTCCCACCAGTATTTTTCTTCCTGTATTTGCTGTAATAACAAATATATCTGTCATAGAGCCATCAGGAGGTCCTTAGCTCCCATCCCACTCTGAGATAAGAGAGATGCCTATCTGTATCCCATACAGATGTTTGTGTATCCTGGCCTTAAAGAAATCAGCAATGCAGGGTTTTCTACAGCTTCCCATACAGTGTTCTCATTGTTCAAACCTCACTTTTGTTACTTTACCAAATCTCACTGTGAATTAAGAATATTACCTCTTTATTTCCAGTGGGCATGAACATTTGGCTGCTGACAAAATGGACTGTTGGTATTTCATCCCTTCCCATGAGCTCTCTCTTTTTTCTTTCCCCTTTTTTTTTTTCCTAATTGATTAAGCAAATCCAGCATTTCATTTTGTTCTTGAAGGTTAGATTCCCTCAGCCTCCCAGCATTCTTGCTGCTCTCTTTGTGCTCTTTCCAGTTGCTTTGTATCTGCTTTTATTTTCTTATGTGGTACCTGAAAACGGGTAGAATATTCCAGCTGAGATTTCACTGAGTTCAGCAAGATAATTGTCAGGGGTGTCC